AGTTTTCAAAGTTGGAATTTAGTTGGATTTTCTTCTTAATCACACACTAAACGATGTTAACTTTAATATGGTATTGAAAAAATGAAGTTTGACGATTGACCCATGCGGTAAAGACAGCGGTAAAATCATTTGTAAAACCGTTTTTGAATTTCCTTCCGTTGAATMTCAAAACGCAAAATAGCAAATGATTAATGCCGTCARTTCAACAGTTCACTGTTTATGAATTTTTTTCAACTTGGAAGTGAACAATYTTGTGAAAAATCTAAAAACATGATACTATTAGATGTTGTTTTGTTGTTGTYTTTTATGTTTTAGCAACTGCACAAACTTAATGGGWCTAACTGTATATTTAGTACCAGGTATATAGCAATACTTTTTGGTCTTACTCGAGCTCGGCGATGGAATTTGAGGTARTTTGACACAYAATAATGYGTGTTTTGTTTCCCTATCGAACTTTCTTTTCAGACGAGTATATGGAAATRAAGGCGTCAGTGCTTCCAGCAGCGAGATTGACCTAAGAAATGAACGCATAAATAATTCACATGGAAAATAAAGAAATGGTCAAATGAATGATTAGATGGGAAAATAAATAGATGAATAAAATTTAAGAATAAGATAAACAAATGAATGGATGAATGGAGGGTTAAGTATTTAATGAATGCGCTGGAACAATACGGATTAACGAATTTATAGTACATTCAACAAAATAATACTTTTTCAGTCGAGACCATAAACTCCAAATTGTACTCAAGGTTGTGCGAATTCATCATACAAATTAATGACTGGAAATTTATGCAACAAAGCATTTTGGGAGCTATAATGTACGATCTTTTTATCACTCCTACAAATCTTCCTAATAGGTGTTTTTGCTTCCGTAGAAAAACGACACAACGACGTCTTGCAAAGAAGAAGCAAAAAAACAACAAAGTAGGACTATTTTAACAGACATGGAAAAGTGCGAGGACTACCCCAATCATGCTTTGCAACAGAAAATGCCGTCGCGGCACAATTCCTATTGATCGAGTAAACATATTAGAAGTTAATGAATGAACAAAAGGATGAATAAAAAAATGTGAATGAATGAACAAATGGACAATACTTCTCATAAGATACATACCCGATGGGGATGAAACGCCATACAAGTAATTGGTCCTATTCGTTGTCCCATAAATCCATCATGATATCTAATCACACTTCGATAGTTACCATCTAAATCATACACCCTTATCATCTGATTGGCTGAGCCACTAGAAAAATAAAATTATAACAAATCCTATTACTGCCGCTGCTATTACTTCTGACTGATACCAAAATGATGGGATATCCAATGCCAAATAGTAATGATAGTTCATAATAATCTAATGCCTATTTATCCTGCTACTAACCAATGTCAGATTAGAAGCGCAATACAATATTTACAAAAACTTTGAAAAGGGACAAAGAATGCTTGAAAAGTTCAGTGCTGGTAGTGTATACCCTTTTGAAAGGCTTCTAGTATGCTCTTTCTTAGATTTAAAAACATAACATCCTCGGGAACCGAGACTTCGTATATTTTARAGAGTGAAGAACGAAGGAAAGAAGATGACGCCTTGGCTTCCGAGGATGAAACATAAAAGGTTTGAGAAATTAAGTATAATTTCATTTATACTACGTGACTCTGTCATGGTTAACCAGTAAATACCTTGCGATTACTTTAGCTTGGTGATGAACTTCGAATGCTGTCATGTTCGCTAACGTTTCGAAGTGTTTTACTGATTCTGAGAACCGTGGATCCCAGAATCGTACATCGCCAGCAACACTAATAGGGCAAGAAGAAAGAGTCGGTTCATAAATCTTGCCAATAATTTGATTCATTCAATRTCAACTGTGATTTCATGATAAGAAGAAGATGGAACAGAAGAACGTAGAGGGAAAGTGGATGGAAGAGAAAYTGAATGAAGTGAATGGAATGGAAGAAAATAAAATAGAAGTGAAAAGAATGACAAATATGAAAGGCAACAGATGAAGCAGCAAACTAAATAAAAGAGAAAAAACAAGAAAATGGATAGAAATGAAATGGGAAAAAGAAGTAGCTTGGGCAAACATTTCCGAAATATGAGYATTTACTTCAGTTTCTGGCTTACCTTCCGCTTATAATATTGCCGTCTCCRCCCTTTTGTAAAAATACACTAGTGACCCATCCACTGTGTTCTCTTAGAGCCATCACTCGACTAAATACATAGAAACGATTGTTTACGATTAATTTTTACTTCAAAGAGATATTTGGGCACCTTTTCAGCGTAAATTACCCACAATGCACCATAATATAGATATTGACCTTTATAACCTTTTTGAAAATACTGTATTCATATAAGTGACTGAGTAATGAGAGGAGGAACTAACTTTAAGTTGTACCTGTCTGAAGGAGGTAGTCTTCTATCATAGAGTCTAACTGAACCGTCRCCACACCCAGCAATCAACAAAGATCTTCCTACAGAGTCACATGCAAGACTGGTAACACAGCTATCAGCTCCTGTTGGTATGTCCTGCATAAAAAAACGTGATCCGTGGAGTTAGCCGTATAGCGATTCTTGGTCTCCTTTGCAGACAAAAAGCCTGAAGTAGAACAGGCTGTTAACGTTAAGGGAACAATAAGGACATTCTATAGGGACATTACTCATTAGGGAAATTATTCTACAGGGACATATTTCTATAGGGACATTCTTCTATAAGGACATATTTTTATCCCTATATTTATCCCTACATTATTCAACAGGGAAAATATTTTTATAGGGACATTATCCTTTAGGGACATTATTTCTATAGGGACACTATTTACCTGCATTTTCATCTCTCTCTGTGTGTCCCATACTCTTATAAACCTGACATCACCCGATGCAAGTAGTATACCAGTCTCCTGCTCCCAGTTAACAACCAGTCCTGATCCACTACCTGGAAATACAAAGAAATATGGTTTAATCAGTGTTCGTTCGTTTTTGTTCTTKTTYCACGGGTTAAGTGTAACTACTCTGGTGAAGAGAATTTCCTCTGTAGAAAAACATTWAACTTATCTGTACCTCTTGTGGAAGGCAGCATYCCAGACAAGGCTTGCCAAGCTGTGACCATTTCTACTTTCTTATCATCCTCACCACTGTAATTTCTATAAAGTCTCACAGAACCATCGTCTGAAAACAAATAAAGATGACACTTATAGGGYTAGTCACTATAGAGAAACTATTATGTAAATCAGCACAGTACATCTCGAGTGGATGTGTACACGCCGCACATGTTTACACTGCCAGTTGTCAACGCGTTTCCTTTGTGAAGTACAGGTATTGAAACAATAAAATTTCAATATCTGGGCTTCATGTCTAACGATCATAGGGACTTGGACACGCCTCGTCTCTCTCCCTCGTTWRGCTCCAAGAAAAAGAAAAGCTCGTGAGGCTGAATGACAGGTMATGTAGGAGTTATAAAKCCCTATGAAAATGAATGAGAAACTGTCCTTCCTTCGCATGATGTAATTACGTACCTGTTCCAGTTAAAAGTAACGTAAGGTCGTGTGCATTTAAAAATTCCATGCTTGTTATTCTTGATACTTTTCGGTTATTATTTGTGAAGTAGTTTAATCTAGCGCCTTGTTCCCAATTCCATACACTAGAGATAACGTTAAAGACAAAATTAACAAAACGTGTTTCAAGATATACATGTATAACATAATTGCAATTATTTCCGTATTTTATTTTCAATCTCAAATGTGTTCTCTAAAAGCTCATATTTATATCATGTTTTTTGATCTTTCATTTGCCGACAAATAAATTGTGAATATTTTTCAATTTATTCATCCCTTTGTGCTATCAGTCATGTACCKATCCAATAACTAACTATGCTAGACATACCTYAGTCCACCCCTGTCAGCAACAACTAGGTGTGGTTCATAAGGATGGAAACGAAGYACTCCAGGTGCATGCTGGTTCTTGTTGATAAAAATYTGGTCATCAATTTTGCCAGAAGCTGAAAAATTCCAAATAGTTATAGTAAGTCAGAGGAACCGCAACTTCATGCTTAACAAATGCAAGGCATTACATGTAAAGAACGATCAAATAACTGCAATTTGCTCTGCTTTCTGCATGAAATATCCAGTAGAAATTTGAGGTTGGCTAGACATACTCCAAGAGCAACTGGCCACATGGATTTAAATATAAGTATATATTCTAATGATGGCCTAAAAGTTCAATTTATTTAAAAATACTTTAGTATTATCCAATAACGTTACCTGCTCTTGCTTGTTGCTTTGCTGCTTCTCGTCTGACTTTTGAATTTCTTTCAAACCTCCATTCTCTYTCTAGATGAAGCTGGCTTTGTGGGTCGTGTTCTTCTGGGGGCTGAAAAATGATACACAATGAAAGTGTTCAATACCATTGATAATAAAAATAATGCTTGTGGCTCTGTACGTAAAAGATCTTTGGCCTGATAAGACCTTTGTAGCAATTGTGGATATGATTACGTTTTTGACGCAGGGAAATGACGTTCAAGATGAAAATAGTTATCAAGTGTAATAACTTGTTTTCTCCCTACCTTCATTACAGACAGTGCAAAGTAGCTTGCACACCATTCAGGGAATTCAGTTTTGACTAAAGTTGGTTTGGTTGACGATGAATCTTCATCATCTGATTCTCCTTCTTCTTCAGATGGAGTGACCTAAAAAAAGATTTTGTCACCAAGAAAGACATCTTCAGCATGATGGCAGTTTAAAAGATGTTCGGATGGATGGATATAACAGTTGAATCTTCACTTGCGGACCCTCGTAAGTGAACAGCTCTAGTTATGGACAGCTACCCAAAACCATGGGGTTTTATTATCTTTTTGAATAACTTCCTGAATGACTTACATGTAAGTGGGCGTCTGTGTCCCAAACAATTTACAGTCAGAATATTAAGTAATACACAAAATATCCATTAGTAAAAGGTAAAATAAATGGCATTTTTACTGCCAGTAGCAGCTTATTATTGAGACCCCTGAAAGCCCGTTTTTTCCCCCCTCCCATACATGTATATCAAACACTGTATTCACACTTTCTATAAGGCGGACAACTCTACAATTTTCTTCACTTTTACTCCGACGAAGGATTAACGTCCGAAACGTCAGTAAGTTATTTCACATACTTTTTTTACGGTGTTAAATTTATCTTTTTACACAACTGTTTCTTTTCAATTTTTATTTCACATCCTTTTTTTACGGTGTTAAATTTATCTTTTTACATAACTGTTTCTTTAGAAACACCGACGCAGCTCACACTAGTTTACCGCTAGTTCCCACCATTTTGTCAAGATTTCAAAACATGTGTACTTATAGAGATTGATCTTGACACTTTCTATTGACTTCTACCCACCTCAGGCCCTTTGTCAAATGTCTTTCTCTTGACATGGAATTGATAAGAATGAGGATAAAGAGCTGGATTCACAGCTGGGTTATTTCTTGATGGTCCACTGGATTGGTCTCCTGGTTTGGTCATAGACTGTCCCACTGGCTGTCCCATTTGGCTACGATATTGTGGAGGAGGTGACCCTTGACTGTACAAAAGAGAAATTTATCAATTAAACATCAATTTAAATCAATAATTTAATAAATATGATCATTTGATTATTGCTCACTATTGGACTTAATAGTTGTAGATCTGAAACCCTTATTAGTGAGTTTTGTGTTATTATTGTTTCGTTCTCTAATTGAGCTGTCTGACTCACTGATGTTGGTATCTTTTCGACGTTTTAACACCATTTGGTCATCTTCCTCAGGATTTTATTGCATAGATTGAATCTTTGTAATGAGTGGCTTCCAAAAATCAATTGATTTAATTATTTATTAATAATATTCATAAATATGAACACTTACTCCATTGAGTGGTGGCGCATGTAAGGATTATTGAATCTGTTTGGTGATGATGGAGCCGATGATGATGTTGATCCTGACCCGCTTGGCACAACTCTCAGAGGTCGAGTATTAATGGTTGCCTAGTGACCAATTAAACTCACTTTATATACTACTTCTCATTTGCAGAATTCAATRTAGTGATTTAAAAACAAAAGACTGGAGAATTTACATTGAATTCAGCACAAGTCATGTTAAACAGACCATTCAATACATTATCAGATAAAAAAGAGTGAAATGCAGTTTTAGTGAAAGTATGTGATGTAGTAGTACACTTTACATAATACTCCAGTTTCGAATTCTCGACCAATGCTCTGTGTTAGCCTCATTTGTGCGCAAAATTTTCCTAATTGTGAGAATAAAAGTGTGAGATTTCATATCAAGTCTATTGTCTTTCTTTTCAAATTCCATGTGTTTTCTYGGGCTAATCAATAAAACAAAATAATATGTTACTTGGTTTTGAGGCTAACACAGAGCATTGAAGTATTCTGTCATTAACTAGCATCTGCCATCCATCAGCCAGTCATTATATCAGTTTGGTCAGTCAGATAATCAAGCAATTCACCAATCAATCATCACACAACCAATGAATCAATCAATATTCATCAGGAACTCATGCAGTCAGTCAGTCAATGTGGCTTACTTTGAGCATCACGCTATTGACGATCTTCTTTGCAAGTTCACTGACTCCATTATCAGGATCTACTGAAAGGTTCAACAAGGCCTGCAAGAGTAACATGACTTACATCAAATAAAAGACTTGAAGATTAATATCATTAGATGCATGTATATAGTACTGCAGGGTCTGTGCTACATTTAATTCCTGGGCTTTTCAAGTACTTTTTAAGCACAAAAATACGATTTTCAAGGACTACTTTAAAAGTTTTTATTTGATGTTTACGGTTGTTTCAAGTGGTGATTTTCAAAAATAGCCACATTTCAATCCAAAAGCTAACAATCAACATGYCAATTTTATTAGATTCAAGTTTTTYAGSARTTTTAGCAATTTTTCCCATTTTCAAGTGCTTTTCAAGCCCTTTCCAGGACTTTTAAAGGATTTCAAAGAGTAGCACAAACCCTGTGTACGATGAAAACCTGATAATAAATTAAAATAATAACTAATGGTTTTCCCTTTAGAGCATGCATTTACTGGTCAAATGAACCACACTTTTGGACTAATCAATGTACATAAAGTAGGAACAAATCCATAAATTACAAACTAGCTTTGAATATCATCATTACCTTCCAAGTATTTGCATACACATTGGATTGGATTGTTGATGACAAAGAAGATGTTGATGGAGTTCTTCGGAGATCTTTGACAGGACCAAATTCTTGGCTACTGCTGCTGCTGCTGCCACTACTGCTAAGGTTAGTACTCCCTCTTTCTGATCCAAAATAAAGTATCAACAGTTATTTAAAAATGATGAGCGTCATAGCTGTCAACTCTATCGATGTCCAACTTCAAATAGCAAGATACATGCAAGCACAAGTGTAGAGGTGGTACAAAACACAAGACCTTGGTGCAATAACTAGTTGTCAATGATTGAAAACAACCTTAAATCACTCTTAAGATCAAGAAGACTGGCTGAATAACGTTCATGATTGGTCAGATTGGTCACATGACATGCATAATCAATGCAAATGCACAGATGCATTATGCTTTTTGCAAGCAAAAGAAAGCTCAAACACAAGCTTGCTTAATAAAGGAATTCAATATCTTGCACATGCTTTATCGCTGTGTGTGGTTGTATAATGAAATAAGTCATCTTGAGTTTGCTCTGCTTCTGCACTTACATTGCTATTTGAAAACCTTAACATTCCTTTGCCATCCCTTACATTGCTATTTGAAAACCAGGCTTAACTTTCCTTTGCCATAAGCAAGTGCCAAAGACAACTAACCTGCATAAGTGCTAAGCTGAGAAGATGAGAAGCTTGCTCTCATTCCACTTGAAAGTTTACGATTTGATGGACTGGTTGATGGTAACACTTCCTGGGGAAGTTGAGGGTTTGTTTGAGGACTATTACCACTTCCTACCACTATCCAACCACTGGATGTTATCGCCGCTGCAGGTGGAGCATTCTCCTTCTGTCTGTCTTCTTCAAGGAATTGCAAAGCAATGACACCRAAGTTGGTTTCATATTGGATGACAAGGCCATGTAATGCAACAACCAGCTCCTGAGAAAATGGTAAAAAAATTGATGTTTCAAAGAGCATTTATAAACACAAAGTTTACAAGAACTGATAGTTACAAACAGCAGACCTCAGTAACCTACTCTTCACATCTCTTCACTTACAAAAATATAAACAACACCCAGCCACAACTATAGAGTCAGGAAATGAAGTCATATTAATGTTGCAGGTTTACCTTTCTAACCAGTGGRCTCCCATCTTGAGCAAGCTGTGTCAGTGTCATGGCAACCCCAAAGTCAATCTGGTTAGCATGATCAGACCTGTCACCAGTGTTAGCTATGAATGTACCCAAAGCAAACACAGCAGCGGCTCGCACCTGAAAAAGGTACATCATCATTGTCTTATCATTTTAAATATTGTTGTATGAGAAGAGACACCACTACATGTATATCATGCAGGATCACTTGCTCATAAATCATATTCTTTGTAAGAGCATGGATAATAACACAAGTCTCAATATTGACCAAAACATCCTGTTAGCACCATAGCGCCAACAGTGGTTTTTTGTTTGTTTTTCGTCTTTGTTTCGCTAAGTAGTGTTCGCCATTGTATTTGTCAGCTTAAGTCAACGTTCGTTTATTTCCTTTGTTCCTTATATGTTCCATGCAAATTTTGTTCAGTTTAAGTGCTCGTTTTGAATATTTTAATCAGTGTTGCCATATCGTAGTATCGAGTACATCGCACAGTTTGTTTGTAAGTATTTTCATTTTTTCCTTGTCTTTAATATCGTTTTTCATGTTATATAGTATAGTTAATTGTATTTGTAAATTTATTACTTAGGAACCTTGCTTGTTTGTAAGCGTTTCGACAATGTGTTTGTAAATAAATACTTGATCCGTAAAGTTTATTGGTATGGTGACCTCACATCCCTTGACAGTTTCTAGTTGTCTGAGTTGTTAATTTGGCCGATTTCTGCAGCTCAAACAAAGTTATCACACATTAAAAATAACAAACTACACACTTACTTCAGGCAAAGGATCAGACAACAAACAATACAGTTTCTCAGGTGCAGTATCTCTGACACCACACCATCGAGCAGCATCATAATTCTGCCATATCTTAGCCAAGCAAACAGCAAGCCATTGCCTGAGTAAAGGATGAGGGTCTGTAAGCTGCTCTAGACAAATAGCAATCAAGTTKCCYTGCAAGCATGACTCCTGTGGAAAACGAACATTCAAATTTTGTCAGTCTAATATTTCTTGTCTATCCAAATGCAATCTTATAGAGTCATTGTTGTTGTTTCATGACGTATATTTTTACTACTTAATATAATAAACATTCTAAGCACATTCTCCATTTTGCTTCCATCTCTCTTTCCATTTTACTGTTATCTGGTATTATTGCCTATAAACTTCATTTTATCTAATTTATATGGATTTGTCCTCAATGTATAACATAAATATGATAATTGAAGTAAATCTTATTAAAGAAACCAACCTGACCACTTCGAAAGCCATCGATGATTGAAGACAGCACAAATGCTGCCATAGTTCTATGCTCTGCCTAGTGAGTTAATAAACATATTATATATCACATTATAGTTAACATTTTTCATAAACAACTCACTAAAAGCAACCAACTGAATTGAAAAAATCAAGTGATGACAAATCATCATATTAWCATATATTATTCTATTTAACAATTAGACCTCGARGTCAAGTGGACTACGAGCTAATAGCCCATCATGAGGCCGAGAGGTCTAATTGTTTTAGTATAAACATACTAATCAGTCAAAATAATGAAAACAAATTGAAATATCCTTAAAATGATTTATTAATGAGATGYCGCCAATTTGATTTTCCTGCGAGTGGTCTATCATAAATTAGACCATTAGTAGAGTAGCCAATCACAGTGCAGTATGAGTGATAGACCATTAGTATGTTTATACTAAAGTGTRTTATACTGTACTTACTGGCATGTATGGATCTGCAAGTACAGATAGAAAGTACTTATGTCCACTGTCCTTTACCAGATCAGCCTGACAAGACTAAGAAAAGAATTTTAATTGGATTTTAATTCTAGTTCCAGCTTTGTTGTTCTTTTGATGTAATTAATATTCAAGTGTTCAAACTGTTTTAAGATCAATGGAAAGATTGTCTATAATATTTTGGTGAGCTAAATATTAAATGATCATCAAAATCTACCAATCTAGCATACATGTTTGGTGGTAAAAATGTATTTATTTTGTAGTGCTTACATGTATATAATTATGCAACTTTTTTTTCATAACATGAACAATTAAATATTATAATTTGTTTTCTTGACTTGGTATATAAGGCAAGTTTTTTGGGAATACATTTTACGACATAATTATAGGGTTCAGAAATCCTTCATATGGTCTCACTTCTACCTAATGTTTGGATTTAAACCAGTTTGATGTTGACCATTTCAAGTGTGTTTTGTTAGGTAAAATTCTTTGCACTTACACTGTCCACAGCTAATATTTTTGCCCAAATAAAAACCAACAGCGGTCTCAGCTCCCTCGCTGAGCTTTGTAATAACTTTAAAACATAAGGAAATATACCAACAGATAATGCCTGCAAAGACAATGAGAAAATATTTAATATATATTCAAAAAAAAAATTGGTATGAAAGATAGTTTTACTATCTTTGAATTCAATAGAATAATTTAATTCAACTTACTAAGTTTACAGCCCATGGCCCTAAATCTAAAAATCTTCCCAATAAATCCAAAGCTCGCAGTCTATGGACCTGGCTGAGAAGAACCTGGAGAACTATTGGTAGCTGTTCTGGAGGATCTCTATGCTCTGAGCCCATGGCAAGCCATACTTGAAATGCTAACAGTTGTTGGGAGAAGAACTGACTGTGCTGTAAAACAATTAAAGACATTTTTCTTTAAAATAGAGCTTGATGGTTTTTATTAACCTGTGCGAAATATCCTTTAGTCTGCTACAGTTTGTTACTATTTATTTTGCATGTTGTTCTTTATCACACTTTACTGCAATTTCACTATTGCACTTTTTTTTATGGAAACCATTCTAGTCACTCAATAATAACAACTATTATTTTGAAAATAATTATAATTCATGATTTAGTAATATATTTTAATTTAATATAATCCTACCCTCCAATATTTAATAGAATTAAATAAAATATTAATATCATGCTCCAGCTGTTATCAGTGAAAAATAATGAACATATATAATTAATGGTCCTGAAGTTTAAATATGCAGTGAAACATACCGTAAAGCTTGAAGGATTTTCAATGACTTCTGGTAGTTGTGATAGACACAGATCAACAGCAAGATCCCAGGCTTGCCTAGAAATATATGCAAAGTTCATTTTATCTCGACCAATTTTGTACGTCTAACTTTCTTATTGTTAATTTTTGCACAGAAAAAAATTCCAATCTCACATCTCCATCATTCAATTTTTCATTATTCTATATTTTTTTCCATTTTATTAATTCTTCTACTACTTCTTAATCTCATTCCCATTCATTTTTCATTTCCCTTTCATTTATCTTTTATCTTACCACATATGATGCATGTATGTTGGAGGGAGCTTAGGACTGGAGACTGGYGTACAGTTGTAAGACCTCATCACACGTTCTGCCAGCAAAAAGTTTCTGAACAAACTTGCAACAAGCAAATCTTGTCTAAAAAGTCTATGAAATAAGTCTGAAAATTGAAAAAAAAAATAATGAATAAATAAAACTGTTAACTTTATAGTCCAACTCTCCTACATACACTTAGCTATTTGCCTGGTTGATTGATAAATTTATATTCTGTAAGTCTGCTTACCTCTTGGAAGCATATTCCATGCTATAGTATCTGTAACAGCAGTAAAGATCCAATTTAATTCACCTAATGGTGTCCGTCTGTCATTGAGACGTCCTGGTATTCTGAAAAACACCATGACAGAAATCAAGTCTAACATTTGGTCATCTTGTATGAAGTTGAAAGGAAATAATACATTAACTTACTTTTCTATAAGTTCCAGTGTTATGCCTGGAACTAATTTACTACAGCTCTGGCTACAGAACCTACATAAAACATAAGAAAGTAAAATAACATAGACTGTCACAAATGAATATGGAATTACAGCTATAAGCATGGATTGTCATGGAATGAACTACAAATAAAGTATGAATTCTTAAAATATGTAGAATTGAGAACTTGTGGTATCTATGACTACAAGTGTTTAACCACTGGGAATTTGAGGTTGGCTACTACATGCAAATAGAGGATGAATTAAGTACAAGATGATCAATCAAGAAAATTGGAAAATTTTATTGTGGTTTATTAAAGGYCCATTATGCTTTGGGGCCCTCGGACGGCCATTTTCAGTTTACCGAAAGTCTATAAATTGTATTGTGCATTTAGAATCTTTGACCATCTCACTTTTCTAAGCACTTTAAAGTTTTCAACCATCTTACTTTGTTTTATGGTGATATTTGATGTATTTTGGTGTAAATCATAACAATAACAGAYGCTCGCAAAGCATAATGGTGCAAACTGGGCCTTTAATACATAWGTGGCCTTTCAATGTACAATATATAAAGATTAACAACTAAGCTGTCAGTTTTCTCACCATTGTAAGGCCACCTTGATAGGTGTTGTCAAACAAGCAGTAAATAAGTCTGCAGGTAGCTCAGGATTCATTGGCAAAAGTTGACTTGCACTGCAAGCTGCTAATTGTATACAGTTTTTAGTAGAATGAGGGACTGGTATATTGTTTCCTTGAGCAAGAGATCTCTGTAGAAAGCAAAAGATACAAGTTCTTATTTTACGACAACACAGGTTTTTCATCAAAGGCACCAACATTCATCAATCATTGTGTTATCAATTCAAAGCATCACCTCATGTTCATCTGCTCTTGTTGAAGAAAACTTGTTAAAACACTGCAATATAAGCCCAGCATTGTTGCAGTCATAGACAAATATYGATGGGCTACCCATCCAAGTCTGTAAGTCATATATTGACAACGGAATATACTGTGTATAAGACTGAAATRCAAATAAAACTGGATTAAAATTCTAGACTTATATGTAAATGGATTAAAGCACGTTAACAACACAATATAAATCTAAAGAGATGACCATGAAAAAAACACACACTTGAACCATTGACAGTATTGACTAATAGTGTTGTACCCAGATCCTTCTCACTTTCCCAATGGAAAATCAAAGACTCTGGTTGGATATGAGTGAATCTTTGATTTGATTGTTTAAAAAATTCCCATGTGCCATCAGTATGCATATATCGTAACCCAGTTTCTAGGTCTTCCGGTATCATCTCCAACCAGAACCTTTGATTTTCCATTGGGAACAGAGAAGGATCTGGGTATGAGAATGGATGTTTATCTAAGTAATGACATTGAATAATGTATAAATTACTTTATTAAAAACCCAAATTTCTCCATTAATTGTAGGCTTTGGYACACCATGGCCATTGTAATGAAACAAGACTCTTTCTTCCTGAAATAGGATGGGAATTGTTAATGAATGAATACAATAGATGAATGAAACAAATGGGAACATGAATGCATTTCAAAATGTGACATTTACAGCAGAAAAAGATTGCAAATTGCCTTCAAAGTTTAAAGGAAATTGTTGCAAGTTTTTTGTGACATAGCATGGAGCGTACTACAAATCCACCAATGACTAAACAAGTTTATGAAAAGCGCTGCCCCTAAGTTTGCAGGAAAGAACAGAATCCAGAAGAAATTGTGATGCAATGACTTTCTATCATGTATAAATATCACTTTTAGTGTCTTACTTTAGCATTTCGGCGCAGCGAAGAGCATAATTTCTTGACATCGTCTACTGTTGGATCTAAGCTTTGYTTGTACCTTGCCTATGAATAAATATATTATAATAACATACTGGATAAGATATTCATAAGATAACACTAGTATCAGATAATTATAGCAGGATTGATATGTGTAACTACGTGTAACTCAGTTCCATGCTCTAGAATAATCAATATGTCAGTTGAACCTTTTTCTATTAAGATGAAACACTTATGACAGTATTGTGCAATTTTACCTTTAAGTTAAACTATAAATGAACATAGTTGTGTARAAAGATAAATTTAACACAGGTGGAATAACTTACTGACRTTTCGGACGTTAATCCTTCRTCTTATAGTCCTCTTTACTCCAATGAAGGATTAACGTCYGAAACGTCACCTACTTTTTTACTGTGTTTTTACACAATTGTTTCTTTAGAAACACCGAAGMAGCTCAAAACTAGTTTACCACTAGYTCCCACCATTTTSATTATAAATGAACATACCCTTGGCTGCCATCGTTCATACTGTTCCTGTAGTTTATTGCCAATTGTTTCGAGT